TTTTTTTTCTTTTTCTTTTTCAAGGAAAAAATGATAATTTGTTAAGCCTTAGAGAAAAGTGCAATATGACTATAAGTATTTTGGGAAGCACATTCTGTTTTTATTTAATTGCTGGTTCTTCATTCACTGATTGTTGTTCACAGGATTATTCCTGCAAGCTAAGAAAAATATAGAATTTTTTTATTTACATAGTTTTATAAATATCCAAATTAGAAAGGAATAAGTACTTAATTACTTAATAACTTAATTCTGTGCCACTGTACTCTCTAATGTGGTATAAATTCAATGAAGTCCTATCTGAGTGATGCCTAAAGATTTTTGGGGTTTAAGTATTTTTTATATATTTGCAGCTTTTTGGACCATTTATATGTGATTACTCAGATCCTGGTATTTTTCTGCTCTTTCTCTTACATTTTAGAGGAATAAGCTAACTTTCCAACACATTCCTGAAATGCTGTTTAGTCTTATTTTCAAGCAGAGGACCTACAAGAAAAACATTTTTTTTCCAGTCAGAATCTGAGAAGACATAACAAGAAGTGGGCCAAAGAAGCCCTGGACCAACTCCAATGGGAAAGTACCTATGGGAAAAATTACCTTTCCAACTGGTCTTCTCATTGGACAATGTTTGTTATGTCCATATTATATGATAACAAATATGATAAATTGTTAAACTTATAAAAGTTGTAGAAATTTGAAACTGGCAAGCCCACAGACCATAAATGTGGAGGCACCTGGAAACTTCCAATAAATAACTGCTTTTTTATCTTACAGTTTTAATACTGTTGCAAGAGCTTTTCTCTTTTGATATCAGGCAACATAAGAAATACTGAATTAGATGCTGATTCTTTTTTATTCAGGCTGTACATAATTCAGAGTATCTGGAAAAAAAAAAGTTGTTATTAGCCTTGCTGGAACATTAGAAAATAAGAAAAAAGTTTTAAATTATTCAAATAATGTGTATAATTAAGTTTCCAGGTGTTTAGAGGGTTTATGACAAATGCTCCTTTTCATTCCTAGCTCATCATAAAGCTCACCACTTTTTAACCAGAAAGTCTGGCCAAAAAGATGACCGTGGTATTTAGACAATGGAATAAATCAAAGAAAATCCACTGAGTGTAGATGTAATGTACTGTTTTTTTATTTGTTCCCGATAACTGATATTTGATATTTATTTGTTCCTAATTACAGATATTATTGAATGATTTTGCGTATTTTTTATTTGTCTTTAAAAAAGGTTTCCTCTGAATTGAAGGTATGCAATAGTATATGCAACTATTATATACATTATATATATAAAACTATATTATATAACTATATGTAAAATAGTTATTTTTCCTTCACTAAGACTTAGGTCATCACTTTACCAGCCATTTCCTAACCTGATGTGTTCCAAAAACACTGAAGGGGTTTTGCTTGGAAGAGATACGTTTTGAGTGATTTGTAAGGTCTGTCAAGGTATTAATGACAGAAGAAGTTTGATCCTAATGGATTACATAGATGAGGAGTGATAAAAATCTTTCAGTGCCCTTCAGCTGTCAGTACAAAGCCAGTTACTGTTCTGCAAGGAAACTCACACTTCCAGCAGACTGTCCTGTAATTTTTCTAAAGTGACTTGTACCAGTCTTCAGCAGACCCTTGGGTCCTGCAAAGGCTTTCTGAGTTCAGCACCTGACTGAAACCAACAGCTGTAATAGAAAATGTGACCTCTGTCTATGGTCATGCAGTCCTGTATTTCTGGCATGTGCTAGAAGCCTTAGTGGCTTTTGTGATTTCTGCTTGAGGAACTGCTGAGGATCTCTAATTTCAGAAGAGTCTGAGCAAGGCAAGCTTTGAGAAGTGAAGTCCCTGAAATGTTTGTTCCATCTGAACTTTCTTTTTTATTGGGCATATTTCTTGGTCAGCTAACCCCACTGTTGTTGGTCTGAGTTAGAAAGCTGTTTGGAGTGACAGCTATTTTCAGAAGTCTTAGCCTTACCTCTGTGAAAAAAGAATAAATCAAGGCTACAACTTCACTGAATATTCAACACAGAAATTTTTTGTTATCAGTTTGACTCTATGTGTTTTTACCGATGCTGACAATTCCTACTACCCTCCTGATCATGTCTTATACACAAAAGAAAACACTGAAAAATGGGAGCACTCACTATGGATAAAGGGTAGCCCATATCTGCAGTGCTTGCAGGATCAAAGGAAGTGAAAAGGGAAGAAGCTCACACTTCTCGAGCTTTAAATGTTTGAAGGGTTTCCTCTGGAAATGGGGAATCAGTATTCTGCATGTAGCTGTGGTAGTCCATATCATGATGTGGTAGGCAGAAAGATACAGAAACCAGTTTTGCTCTTCTTTTCTAGTGCTGCTGGCTCAAACATACACAATGCAGGGGTTTTGTTGTTCATTGTTCTGCACAGAGATCTTCTTGCACTACCATAAATGAGCTCATGTGTGCTACTTCAGGGTTAAAGGATCCCATAGGCTTTACTATGAAGTGCAGGCTTTATGCATGTCGCTGTTTGCATCAGTATTTCAAAATCCTTTTGGAATTTTTCTTGGAAACCACTATGCATGCGTCCTGTGCATAAAATACTTGACTGGATAGGGCTAAACAGGCATTCCAAAACGTAACTGAACACAGTATTTGCACTGATTTTATATTAGTTGCTTCTGCACCAATTACTAGAATATAGTGCAGATCTGAGTCATTACCCACTTACATATGGGTGCTGTCCCGATGGCTCCCAGCTCATTTGGGATGCCTCAGTGCTAACAATAAACATTTTTGACCTTGGTGTGAATAAACTGCTGGAGAGCACCTCAACTACAACAGAAAAATATTTGCCCTGTAGTAGTGAGGTCACAGAAGCAGGAGATCATTCTGTTCTTGTATGCCCAGCTGCTGGTACTCCTTGGCTGACAGATCTGGAGCTTTGAACACCCTTGCATGTGTATTTTTTCTAATTCTTGGTATGAATTGCCCTCATGTGAACAGCTCAGACGTACAGCTTGTTGAGAGTTCTGCCACAATACATTGATTTATCTTTTACTTTCAGCAAGTGTGTGTTGCAGAAGAGTCAGAGATATCTCCAACAGTTATTTCAGGTTTTAATATTTAACAATTAATAAGTATTAAGTACAAACAGATATTTTAGTATTTAGTAAGTATGGATGGATTAGAAGTCAATGCTCTACACTTAAAGTTGTGATGGCGTACAACGATTATTAACTAAGTTCCCTATAAAAAATCTTTTCTGCATGAAGGCAGAAAATGTCCCCAGCTCTTCCATGTCTGGCACCAGGTAGTCTTACGACTTCAAGGGTAACCTTGAGAGGTATACCCCCTTGAGGGGAGATTGCTGCCCTGCAGCCAGGTGTTGTGGAGGCAGAGCTCAGCAGACTGATAGCTACACATAGTATGGTGCAAAGCGATTGATTTGTAGTCAGTTTTTCTGCTATTAATGCAGTTCCTACCATTTACCAGTCTAGTCCAGTGTCCAGTTTTAGTTTGTTGCTGAATTCTCACTGACAACCTCACACAGTAGGATTAACCTTGATTAGACCTACTTGCTGAGGATCTGAGTGCAGCGAAGCTCACTTGATTCATGCAGGAGGAGTGCATCTGTCACAGTGTGCCACAGAGATCTGCCTCAAGTGAGGTGTAGCTCCTTAGCATAAAGGAGCTTTTATAATATTATTCTGGGCTTGCTGGTGCAGTGGGACAGCACTGGTGCTGTATTCACAAGGGAGCTTCTCAGTGGCATTTGTCAGAGTTGTGCAAGTGCATGCATGTGCAGGTAGTTAACATTTATCACTATGTTTTATAAAAATGTGTGTTTAATAATAAAAATGCATGCATTAGCGGGAAGAACATAAAGAGATACAGTCTGCTGTATGGAAAGCTTTAATTGACTCTGTTTTAGCAAACTAACAGAAATGCTCAAATATTTAATCTGGGAAATGCTTGCAAGGAAAAAACCCAAATGCAATTTTAAAAAATTGCTTTTCTCTACAAACATTCAAACTGAACTGGCCATTGGGTATGGGGATTTAGTAATGACTTTAAATAATAGCTGAATCTTTTCCAAATCTGCATATCCATGTGCTTCACTTGCTGCTTTTTCTGATTTGTTGTCTCTATGTGTTATATATGCATTTTAATCAGCTATGGCATACTGAATTAATCTTATTTGCATTTTTAATACAGAATGCTCATTGCCTCCCAAATGGAACCAACGTATGCCAGGAGAGTTTACCCATGTTTTGATGAACCTGCCATGAAGGCTACATTTAATATCAAAATTATCCATGACCCAAGCTATGTGGCTCTTTCCAACATGCCTGCTATTGGTAGGTAAACAACAACTTTATGTATGTCTTTTTCTCCCGCTACGTTACTTTCAAAAAGGGTGCAATTCACCTGAGAAGTTTATGTCACCAAAAAAGTGTTCTGTTGTCTATTTGCTAATGTCTTCAAAAGGCACAGAAAATCTATGCCTATGAGCTTAAAAATCTGGGCACTGTTATTCATAATTCTCTGATGGTAACCATTCCGTTAAACAATTTTATCACTTGTGGTGTGCTCTCCTCTGCCTGCTGGAGGCTGCACAGAGTTTGACGTCTGATATTTACTGCTTCGTTAGTGTGTCTGTCATATTGTGTGATGTAATTTTCAAGCAAAATGGTGTCTCCAGGAATGCAAAGTATGTATTTGTGACATCAAGGGATTCCTTTAATTCTCAATAGATGTTAAGATGTTTATAACAAACAAAAATATTTTTTCCAGGCAGAGACATTCCAGCCTCCTGTGTATGTGCAGAATAGAAACAAGGACTATAAGGCTCTGGAGATGTTCCTTCTGTCCCTTGCTGGGATCTCAACTGGGATGTCTGTGGAGTATAAGATTCCAAACAAATTTTCTAAATTAGTATTCCTAGAGGAACTGTTGGGTCTCTTGCCTCCTTCTTAAAAACTCTTTTTTTGCAGTTCAATGCCATTAGTCTTTATTTTTCAACTAAATAATTTTCAGTCATAAGATTAAGTTTCATGACATTTGCATAGAAACTAAATAACTTAGGAATTATAATAGGTGGGATTGCTGTGACAATCATTGGAAGCATTTTCTACTCCAAAGAATCTTGCCTATGTCCTTCTTACTTCGAGGGAAGGTATCTGATTAAGTATTTAATTCTTAGGCAGACCTGACCAGTATTTTGGTCATAACAGGTTGTATGTTTTAGATAGGTAGCATGGGATAAATTGCCCTCAGCTTGCCCACAGCTTAAAACTGATGGAGTTTGATACCCTTCCAAGACTTTAGTCAGGAAGCCAAAGAGTGAATATTTGCTCCTTGCATGGAAGGTCGCAGCTCTGGTACATGTCAGTAGCAACAAGTCTGGCTCCTTTCCTTCTCCCAGAAACATGAGTTAGTGTAGGAATACACCATATTGAAGAAGGGGGTAAAAAATAAACATGCAGAAAACACAAAATTCCTTGTTTATTATGGAAGAACTTTGGTTTGAGTATTTCTTTGGCTTTTTTCCTAGATGTATCTGAAGTGAAGGATGAAAATGGAAGCCTGTGGAGAGTTACCACATTTAACACTTCACTGAAAATGTCAACTTACTTGACTGCTTTTGTGATTTGTGATTTCGATTATGTCACCAGAACTGAGCGGGGAAATGAGGTATATATGAGGCTGTCTAACACATAATAGAAATTTACCACAGAAGTTGGCCCTCTGGTGCCTTGTGTGGTTTGAAGACATCACAGACATTAACTGTGTAACATTTCCAAACTATCTACTTATGTAGCAAAACTGCTAACATTTGTTCCATAGATATTTCTGCAGAAAGCTTTCCTTTGGAACAATTAGTTATTGTGTTGTCCTGTTCGTTTCATACAACTGCGCAAGTAGGTATGGCCTATGTATGTTAAAATCTAGGAGAAGCTACTCTGCAGAAAGTACTGGTTATAATTCATGATCTTCTTACTTTCTTAGGTGTCTTAGTTGTAAAACATACCCATTTCCACTGCTGTGACTAACCACTGATGTGCCTTGTTCCTCAAGGTCCATTGAGGAGCCACATGGCGACATCAGTAGGCGTAACACTGTGCTCCAAACATTTTGTATACTAGTATATTAACCTTCTATTCCACAGTATGCACTTTTTAGCCTACAAAAGTGACTGTTTTGGGTCTGAAGTTTCTTCATCTGTGAGTATGCACCTTTTTTCTTAAGATTAAAACAGCCAAGGCTTGTTGAGAGGAGCTGTGAAAAAATGTACTGCATGGGCAGAAGTTGCTTCACTTCTTTTCTTTCATTCAAAATCAACAGGGAAAAGATGAATCAAGTTTTTCCAAAATAAGTAGTAAGTTCAAGCATAAAGCTATTAAAGATAGGATTTACTTTATCTCCTTATTAAATGAGAGCACTTCATGGTTCGTTCACTCTCATCCTACTGGGGAAAGGTGGGACAATGTAAATGGACACTGCAGAGATTGTCTAAGGAGCACAGTCTTTTTTAAAGGGAAGATTGGATATGGCATGTGAGACCTGCCATCTCCTGTGTTGAACTTGTTGGGTACTTACAGCTATGGCTGTGGTGGCTTTTTCTTGGGCCTAGTTCTTGGACTGAGTTCTTAGACTGAGGAATCAACAAAGCAGAGTATTCAAATGAGCTGTTTTTCAAAGGGAAAAGGCACTGCCTGTGTTCTGTGAGATTGAGTGGAGAGGGTATTTCACCCCTTGGTTTTGGACAGAGATGCTCAGTTTTTGCCTCCACACTATTTGTGTGACCATGTTTATTGTGCCTGTTTTGATGTTTCTGGTAACCTGAAACACTCAAAGCTCATACTAGGATTAGGATTTTAAGATGCTAGTTGTGTTTAGGTTTTGCAAAATTAAGTGATCAGGTCTTTGAATCTTTTCTGAAGCCTTGGTGGAGAAGAGGGCCTCTCTTGACTGAATATGTTTTTTTTTTTTTTTCCCATTGTGAATTAAATCCTAATGCTTCCCAGTTATGCTTTTAGAGTTTGGCTGTGCAGCTCCTTGTGAGATCATGTGTTGAATTTAGATGCAAGAAATGTGATGATTTTGACCTGCTGGGCACCTGGCAGAGTGTCTCTTGTTCAGAGATACATGATGGAGATATAAACCTTTTCTCAGGCTATTCCATCACTTTTGCGCAAGCAGCTGCTCTCTTCAGCAACGGTACAAAGTTAATGGGCACAGGAGGGGAAAGATTTTTTCCTGCTGTGGTCTTCATTACTCAGAGGTACAGATGTCATGTCTTCAGATGTCACCTGTTCTCTCCCGCAGAGGGGAGGCTAGTGGTCTCAGAGAAAGTTCAGGAGGAGAGAACATGTGCATGTTAGGACTCCAAACACTCTCTGGACATCTATTTCTCTCTCTTCAGGTGGGCTAAACACAAGCTTGTTGCCCAGACACACTCACTGGAATACATTGCTTTAAGTGTGTAATTCTAAATAGTTTTGCAGTGTTTTTCACTTAAGAAAATAAAATCTATGATTTCATTTGTTCCTGCAATGTATAGTTGTATTCAAATCTTTGTCCTTTTGAAGTACTGGAACTCTGCTAGATTTTAGCAGGATCAGTGTCTGTGCTGCATTGTGTTAAGTCCAGTAAAACTTCAGTTGGACTTTTTTAAATTAAAAACTTCATTGCATGGTCTGGAGTGGACAGACAGCATTTTTCATTTCAACAATGACTCACAGAAGAGAAGCAAAGAAAATGAAATGTAAGGATTGTTTAAAATAATTCTTCCTTGTTTTATTTCAGATACGTATTTGGGCCCGGAAGGAGGCAGTTAAAAATGGGTATGTTGACTATGCTTTAAATATCACAGGCCCAATATTTTCATTTCTGGAAGACATACTTAATGTCAGCTACCCTCTGCCAAAGACAGGTGAGATGCCTTATTTTCTGGAATGGATCAGAAATGGCTGCTGATGGTGGAATGCTCACAGAAGCTATGGGTTTTTTTTCAGGGTTCTCCTTTTACAGTGTACCACATTCGTGGAATAAACCCCCTAAACTTTAAATCACTGGATTCTCCTTTCTGTCTCATGGCTTTTGCTAACCTATAACTCAACATTCTTATCTTTGCATTCCACTTATTCTTTTAAAGACAATTTTCCTAATAAAAGGGGCAGGTTGTACAACAAAGTGGGTTGAAAGGTGTAGTTCAGTCACATGGGCTGTCTTTGGGATCACAGATCACAAAATGCAAGGGTGTTGTAGTTTCTATGTCCTTTAAGTAAATCCACACTGCCTATATGCAGCCTATGTCGCCACAAAGCATTCCTTGCTTTCTTCAGTATCTTCTGGTCTTGTCTTGGGTGTTCCTACACATTCCTCCCCAGAAAAACAGGGAGGATTGCCCTGCAGGAAAACATTGTCTCTACTTCAAATGGACATTGGGTAAGTTGGTTCAGTCAAACTTCAGTCAAAAAAAAAATGATGACACCATGTAGTTTCACTGTGCTGTTTGTTTGCTACTTGTGCTTGGATTCTCAAGGGTTTCAGCATTAATATTATGGGAAAATGGGTAGAATATTGAGAAGACAGTAAACAGTTCTTATCTAAAATTACTTCTCAGCCTACCAATTATTTTAGAACATTGCAGGACTGGGGGAAAGGAATTTCCCTCTTTTCTTGACTGGATAGTTTGTTATTTGTCAAATCTGTAGTTTGGCACTTGAAAGAAATAAATTTTATTATGTGTGAATTTTTTTATCTCGGTATATTTCTAATGACTTGTAGAATTAAGCACTATACTTCCTTTGGAAAATGCAATATATGCAGTCTACACTCTTCTAATTTTCTTGTTTTAGTAATCTTACAAGCTAGTCAAGGGCTATAGATTCTTCTGTTTCATGCTTGCGTTCTTGTGTTTAGCAGCAATGTCAATACATTAATTAATTAGCATAAAACTATTACACAACAGAAGTAGAGAAACAGTATTGTAGACTTCCTGCTAGGCAGGATTTCAGTTTCAGAGAGGGCTGTAATACCATTACAATCTCCACTGTAATGCCATGCAATATCCACTGGATTTCCCAGTGTCTTTCTTTGAAGTTTCACTTAAAAAATAGTAAAATTAGACCAATCTGCCTCCTTGTAAATGCAAGAGATTTCTATTGCAAACTCCAAATGTGAAATTAAGAAGGAGCACATTTAAATACAGGGGTCTTCAAGGGTTTCTGTACACCTGATTTTAATGCCATTGTAAGTGAGATCTCCTGCCCCAAGGCTGGATAAGGGCTGTCTCTCCAAAAGTGAAATACTTTTGCTGTAAAATGGAGGCAATAATCCCAATTGAGATGCAGTCTACCTGTAATGGGATTCAGCACCATGCTTGCATTAATTGCCTTACTTTTTGACAGCAGCTTTCTTGTGGTCAGCTGCCTCTAAATGCTTTGTAACCTTTTCCAAATTTTGATTTTTGCTGCTGGGTTTAAACAGTATGTGTTTCCTTGAGACCCTAATTGTTTTGTCTGGCTCTCACATTTGAAAAGTAATCCCTGTACTTAAGGCAGAAAGGGCAGTACAGAGGTGACAATCTTGCTGTGTACATAAAGAGATGATGTTTCTAAGGCACCTTTCAAACAAGAGTGTAAAAGATACCTCTTCTCACACAGCTCAAAGAGCAAGACTTTTTTTTATCAGTTGCTAGGCTGAAAAAAAGGTAATTATTATCCTACCCAAACACAGGAGAAACACCCAGAGAAAGAGTTCTGACAGCAATGAACATATATTCTCTTCTAACCACAATTTTCATTTAGAACATTTGTAGGTAGAAAATACAGTACAGATCTGGGCTTTGTGGGAATTAATTATGTGGCTTCCTGAAAGAATGGCATCGTAGGTGAAAAGCATGACAAGAAGAAATTTCAGTGATCATATGCAAGTTTTGCTGTAATGCCACAAAGAAGCACTACCATGTATTATCCTTCAGTGGGGTGCTGATCCAGTGTGAGCATTAACATTGTGAGCACTTTATTTATGAAAATGTTTAAGATAACACTTTTTTGTGTGTGTGTCTGTTTGAATCAATTTAGATCTGGTCGCACTGCCTGATTTTGGAGCAGGTGGTATGGAAAACTGGGGGCTAATGATTTTCCAAGAAGCATCGTTGATGAACCTCCCAAGTGATGAATTCACAAGCAGGAAGGCAATGATTGCCTTAATTGTGTCACATGAACTAGGACACCAGGCATGTGGTAAAAATTCTATACATGTATTTACATTATTTGCCTGTGACATTTTTTCCTCACAGTTTGCTGATGATGCAGTTATTGATTAATAGAAGCAAAATAATCACTTAGCAGTAGAGAGTGTATATGAGCACCAGAGAACTGAAAGCCTATTTGATCATATGTTCTGCTGATAAAGCAATGTTAAAAGTAGGTTCTCTCATCTTACAGACTGATTGTACAAGACTCATTGATGCAAAACTGTTAATGAGATACTTTTTTTTTCTTACACAGTATTTGAATGACATGAGAGAAGGACACTAGGGATGTAGGGATGACAGTACTCTCCATACAATGAACTTACCATTTTGTTAGGACACTCATACTGAGTTTATCAGTATTCTTTTATAGTGGCAGTGCATGTACATATTGCAAAGGGTATTTGTTTTTCTGTAAGACACAGCCCATAGTAAAATAGAACAAAACTAATGTAAAAATACTTTGGCCTGGATCTTTGCCCAGATTTCATAGAGATTTATGAATTCTTTCTTACTTTATTTGCAATGATAATACAATTGCACTTCCTTATTGACAATGTTTAATTTCCTGTTATTTGACAGAGCAACAATTATTTACACTTAGTCAGTAAAATCAGCAAAAAAAGCTTAACTTGGCTAGTGCACTTTTATGCCTTTCTGACAAGGTCTGTACCTTTGCATACGTTCAGATGAGCAGAGTGTTTTTACTGAGGCCAAAGAAATAATACAATAAACTTGTAGTTCTGTTTTTTAACAATTAGAAAATAAAATGTAAATCCAGAAAGGATCAGTTTTTTGTTAAGTATTAAATGCCAGATATGAGTACACAGCAGCTGTTTCAGAAGATTTGTACTTGGCCTGAGAGGGGTTTGCTGGTTTTGGAAATGGTTATTTCCCCAGTTTTGTGTATCATTCCTTTGACAATTTCTCTTTGTTAAGAGCATGGAAAGATGATTTTGTAATTGTTTGATAAATGCCCTACTTTTAATAATAGCCTGGTATGATATTTTAGAAATTTAACTTATAGTGAGAAGTCTTTAAAATGAAATATTCTTTATGAATTACATAATGCACTGAGATTGATCCTCATGGTATGAAATTGTAAATTAAGCAATTTAAAAATTACTGCTCTGAACCTCTTGACTTTTTCTAAAGTACATCTTTTTCTACTGAATTTTCACTACCTGAAGGAATGTTCAGCATTTTATTCAATTTACATGTAGACATTAAATAAAGTTACTTCATCAGCCTGTTTATGTGTGTTTAACCAGAAAAAGCTGTTTAACCTGCAAAAACTGGAAAACAGCACTCCAAGGAGATTTTGAGATGTTTTATCTTTTAATTTAAGTGGTTTGGAAATCTGGTTACAATGAACTGGTGGAATGATTTGTGGCTTAATGAGGGCCTGGCAACTTATTTTGAGTACCTGGGAGCTACCTTTGTTGAACCCAAGCTTTCCCTGGTAAGTGCCTACGCAAAGTTCCATCACGTAAGAAAGGTGTGGGAGATGGGATTTAATTGAACAGTGCTATTATAAACTTCACTCCTTGGGGAAAGACCAGTAGGTCTTGCTTCTATCCCTGTAGGTCTCCATCTGTGGGGGCACCATGATCATATCCAGCCCTCTACAGCTGGTGCAGAGAACAGGTGGACAGCTGGGGTTCTGCAGTAGCAAGGAGTGGGTGTTTGGCCCTAGATCTGTCATGTAGCAAACCCAGATTTCTCTCCTGGATCCTTTTGTAGCTGATGGTTTTCCTCCTCACCTGCCACACTCTTTTCTAATTATCCCAGTCCTCAGGTATCTTTACCAGGCAGAGATTAGGCCAGGTCATTTTGAGTCTGCTTACTCCACTGCGTCCCTGGATGTCTGGTTGTAGATAAGATCAATACAGTTCACGTAGCTAATCCAACAGCAGGGTAAAATTCCTTCCCATTCTGCCCAAATGGGAATAAGTATAAATCCCATGGCATATTAGAAGACTCTGTCCACTGTTAAACTGAGAGACAGATGGATAGGGGCTGGTAATTGCAGTAATGAGATGAGGTGCACTTCTCCATGCAATTAAATGTCTGTTCATGCTGCCATTAGCTTCTGAAGGAAGAAAGGGCCTTAAATCTGGGCAGTTGCTCCAGGGTGCTTTTTATTTGGCTAAGTTGAAACACCTTTTGTTAATTTCCTTTTTGCATTCACCAAAGCTCTTAATTACATGTTTGATTAGAAACAAATAAAGGCATGCAAAACAATTTCTGTCAGGAGGATTTCTACGTTACAGGATATGCCTATCTTCTTTTTTTAATTTCAACAACAGCTCACTTTATTCTTTGCAATAAAGTGTCTTAATACCACTAAAAAGTGTAAAGGTTCCAAATTTTAAATTGGAAATAAATTATTGACTTCTTTTTAATTAAAACATTTAATTTAGAAGCTTGCCTTTCTGAAATCAGCAGTTGTAATTTATGTCCATAAAGTAAATATTAACACTGGGCAATTGTTCTGTTTGATACATTGCAGTTAGGTAATATGCTTTGGGAAAGTAGACTAAATCACTTAAGTGTAAGAATATAGGCCTTTCTTGCAAAGTTTTGTGAGTCGTAAATGTTCACAGAGTCACAGAATAGCTGAGGTTAGAAGGCACATGTGGAGGTAATCTTGTCCAGCCTCCCTCAACAAGCAGGGCCACACAAGATCCAAGTGCCCAAGACTGCCCAGACAGCTTTTGAATGTCTCCAAGGATGGAGGTTTCATAACCTCTCGGGGCAACCTGTGGAAATGCTCAGTCACCTTCACAGTGAAAAAGCTGTTCCTGGTGTTCAGAGAGAACCTCCTGTGTTTCAGTGTGTGCCCATTGCCTCTGGTCCTGTCACTGGGCACCACTGGAAAAGCCTTCTCTGTCCTCTGATCAGCTTCCCTTCAGGTGCATACACTGGCAAGATCCCTCCGAGCCCTCTCTTCCTCAGACTGAGCAGTTCCAGCTCACTTAGCCTGTTCTTAGAGGAGAGGTGCTCCACTCCCTTCTCTGTGCTGTTGACTGTGGTAGGTGACAATTACTCAGGAGACATTTTCTGAGGAGACACTTTCCTTCCCTATTTCTCATGGGGTGACAGCAGCAATGCCACATTGCTAAACCCTGGTACCTTCAGTAGCTTAGGTTTTAGGTTATTGCTCAGGGTTGCAGCAAAAGAAATGGGGAATTTAGGAGGAATATGTTGCCATATTCATAACAGCAGTAAATGAAATACAGGCTTTCAGTTTTCAGTATTTGTTCATTTGCTGTTTAATATAGTTGACTTATTTTTGCCTGAGGATTTCATTGTAACTGACTGTCAGGCCCAAGCCCATAGTACTTTGAAGATGTAATATTTTCACTGATCACTGGTGCTGCATGTAGAAAATGTCAGGATCATGTATGTAGTCCCCTGTTCTTCAGTAGAAAGCTAGGGAGTTGGGGAGCTTGTTTATAGACAAATTATTCCTAATAGTGCTAATTCCTCATTATCTCCAGAGAATTAATATCTTCTGTTCATCTCACATGACAAGATTTGTCTTCTTCTTGCAGGATAAAATCTTTTATGCTCATGTAGTACAACCTGTCTTAAGGGAAGACAGTGAAATAGCTCGATCACTGTCAGAGAGTGAAGACAAGATCAAAGGATCTTTTTCTTTAATGTCTCTGTTTGACAACATCACATACAGCAAGGTAAAAATCCAGAAATTTTTTCCCATTTATTGCAGATTCTAAGCTAATGTCACAAGGTAGATTTGGAAGGAACTGAACAAAACTATTTTGTCATGCAAAATGTGTTTCAGCACACGTTCAGCACACACAAATTTATTGGGTGTTGCAAGTCTACTTGGCTATGAAGGAAGACGTGAAAATATTTTTAACATCTGTAAAATATGAAGTGTGGATGTAGACCAACTAGCATCTCTGGAACATTTTAAATCATATTGCAACAGTAATTGCAATAATAATTCTTTTTTTTTTTTTCATTTTTTTTATTTTGTACTCTAGGGGGCTTCTATAACCTGGATGCTTTCTGTTTTCCTGACTGAAAAGTTGTTCATCAGAGCACTTATTGTAAGTTTGAAAAAATAACCCCCTTTGTCTTGATTTATACATTTGAAAATGCCAGTTGTACAAAAAAAACTTGCCTTGCTAATGGTTTTCATCGAACCTCTGTGACTTCTGATGTTTCTCTTTGTTTCCCCACAGTCATATCTGAAAGAATTTTCTTTCTCAAATGCTAATCAAGATAATCTGTGGACCCACATCCAGATGGTACTCATTTTATGTCTCTAGTGTTCTTTCCCTTTGGCACAATCCGGATTTAAGGCATAAACTGTTTGTAGAAGACTGCATTGAAATGTGGCTATCTGTAGTGCAGTCTTTGTCCTACATAAAATTTCCTTTGCCAGTTCTCCCAGCTAATGTCTTTTTAAGCATTTATTTGGCTGCTTTGATGCAGCTGAGATCAGTGGGACAGAGTACATGGAGTAGAGACATGAGATAGGAAATCAGGACCAGGCAAAGTTTTGGGTTCCATGGTCATTACATTAGCCTACATGAAATCACATAGTCTATTGTTCTGGAGCTTGGATTTTGCTAGATCAGAGTGTGTGATGCCTTGGGCTTGATGATCAAAGATGCTGGTATGTTCAGATCAGGAAAGTCTATATCCAGGGCAGTAGCTCAGCATTTCACCCTTCAGTGATTTTGGCAAAGATCTGACAAAGAAAACAAATGCTAATATTAGGTTATTTTTTTTTAAATCCCCCTTCCTGGTCCTCTAAAGAAGGCTTCTGTTGTGTTTCAGATTTGTCTTAGGAATGGGAGTGCTAAAATTTCAGATGTGCAATTCAGATATATTTTATACCAGTGAAGACTGAAACAATTCACACTAGTTTGGACTCCAGCTTAATGTCTTTCCAAATTTGTCTTCACTTATTCAGTTTGTTTGTTATGTCACTTAAATATATTTGTGTTCAATCAGTTCTATTTGAGTGAAATTAACTAATCAAATCTATCATAGCCATAGAGATGTGTAAGTATATTAACACTAAAAATTGAAAGATTTGCAGCAGATTGTAGAATGAAAAGTGTCATCTCAGTGTTTCATAATTACTGAAAAAGGTTTATGCCTGCATTATGTCTTTATTAGGATGTCAGAAAGATTCCTTGGAATTTGCTACATTGATTTTTTGCACCAAGGGCAATTTTTTGGGCCAAAGACCAGCAAGCTGCTAAGCATTATTTTCTCTACTGCATTAGAAACACTCCCAGAAATTCACTGAAGCAATATCAGTAAATACCTTGTTCATCATAAGTATTTCTAATTTGTCTTTCTCTTTCAGGTTGTAGATGCACAGGATGAAGTTCAGTTGCCTGCACCTGTAAAACAAATAATGGATTCCTGGACATGCCAAAATGGGTTTCCAGTTTTAACATTAAATCTAACTACCGGAACAATCAGACAGGAACAATTTTTTAATAAAAACAATAGAAAGAGTACTGATTCTTACAAGTATGTTTAGCTTCTGTTTTTATTGTATGCTTATACCCCATTTTTTGCAGGAAATGCTTCAGTTACAATAACATGTTCTGATTTTTAAATTTATGTTTTTTTTCTTGTGACAAGCAGTCAAGTAAAATCTGTTTGAGATTTTGCTGGTGTTTTGCAGTAGTTCTCCAAATTCTGCTTGCTTTTTCCAAAAAGTTGCTTTCCTCTGGAATAGTGACTTTTCCAGCCACATAATAATAAATCAGACGTTGGTGATGAGCGTGTTGCAGGGAGGATTTTTGCCTGGCATTTTCTTTCTTCCTCATCCCTGAGGTTTACAGACTGGGGACCTGGATGAACCATGCTTAGCTTCTTTCCAGTGCACACATTCTCAGTCTCTTCTGCCTGACAAGGATAGAAGGGTTGCATTTAAATACTTAAATAAATTACTAGTTTCTCAGAAAAGTGCTGATACCTGAACAACAGTTTTAAGTTCTTGTCAGTGAGCATTGCTAAGTGCCTGGGGCTTTTGAAAACTAATTTAGATGTCTGAAAATGATGATAGAAGTAGCTGCCTCTTGTCACCCACTTTAGAAACTCCTGGCTAGGGTTTGAGCATTTATGAAGAAGCAGTTGATATGAGTTTTGGGGTGTATGGATGGAGCCCATGAGATGAAAAAGTGCAAAGGAGAGCAAAATCCAAACCAGTTTTTTCTTGGAAATTATTGCTGGTAATACAAACAGACAAAAGGAGTTTTGACACGAGCCACAGGGTTTCCTTTGCTCCCAATCTCCAGGAACTGTAAAGCATTAATTCATTCAATATTCTTGGTTAGCTCAGATAAGGCATTCCAAGTCACAAGTGTGAAGTCCTGTACAGTTAGCAAGCACAAATTATCATGTGAATGTAAGAAAGCCCAGAACCTGTACTACAGAATTTTTCAGGCGTTTGAAGCTTTCATCTCTTTTACCAGAAAGAAGTTTTACATTCCCTCAGAAAAGAAATTACAGTTGTTGGAAAGACAGTTGTATTGATTTCTTGGGACCTTTTTTTTGGTAGATATGCTTCTGAAAAGTAGCTTTAAGGTCTCCAGAAATAAGGTGATGTGTAATAAGTGGGGAGAATAAAATTACTGCCTGGATAAGGAAAGACAGCACAGAAAGACAATGGTATTGAAATACCTAGCCCTGAACAATATTATTTTTATCGCCATGCTAAAGCTCCCTTTTGGAGAAGATAAATGCTGATCCAGCAGAAGTACCATTATTTGATAAAGTTGCATGCATCAAAGAGGATAAAAGGTAGATGGAGATTCTTGTAAAATGGAACTAATCTGCACTGTAGTTTAGCATCAGCTAAGAGAGATTTTTAAGTATAAGAATTTTAATCAAGTCCTTTTATTTATTAAGTAACACCTGGATTGTTCCTATTTCTTGGATGAGAAATGGATCATCACAACCCTTAACCTGGCTAGATAAAAGCAGCAGTAAGTAATGTATTTGTTTGCACATTCTAAAACCAAAGTGATGAGAACTCTCCAAAGTCTTTTTTAAAAGTAGGACATATTTGAATTGAATAGGGAGATAAAACTTTTATACAGAAATGTCTTTGTTTATCTCTTGTAATGATTTTGTGTTACAAAATAGTGGTAGATTTTTCAATTAGGTCATTATAATGTTCTTTTCTATGTTGCATCAAACTTAAGTATAATCTTGAGATTTTAGTAATATGGTACAACACATTTTATGGGTAGAGATTTCCACAGAAATTTGGATTTTATATTTTTTTTACATAAATTCAAACTTTTAGACACTCATGCTTCTGTAATATTCTTCCCTCAGATCTTATTGAGGTTAATGACAGCTTTTGAACATAGTCAGGATCTCAGCTGTGAAATACCAGAAAATTATCAGCTCAAGTAGTAGATACAAGACTGAAAAAATAACACTGGTTTTGGGAAGTAACCCAAATATTGTTACACATTATTATCTGTAATAACAAAAAAATTCATGGTTTTGACATAATTTAATTAGTTTATTCAAATTAAATTTAAAATTATCAAAATAGTAGGATTTTTCAAGTTTTAAAGTCTTATAATAGAAAGTGATTTTATGGGCATCTCCAACCAAATTAAAAATTCAGTTCTTTCTGAACTCACTACTTTCTGATAGCTTTTTATAGGAAAGAAAAAGTATAATAATTAAAATGGGGCAATCATTTTGCTTTGGCAAGTCAGGCATGCATCAAGTTTTAGATGAGTTACAAGAAGATGCAGAGACTAATGCAGTGGAACGCTTAAGAACAAATCTTCAATATGCTGTGCGTATTGCAGCTCTCCACCCTTGGTTTGCAGGGGTTAAAAGTTACTTCCTCTCTTTTTTAGGCAGTAAGATAGCTTGAGTGATCATTAATTCGACTGTATACAGACAGGCAAATAAGAAAAAATGCATGTATATTTCTCTGAACACAGAATGAATCTTGCAGTATTTGCTCTGTCTAAGCAAGTACTTGCTCTGTGTAAACACTGGAGTCTGAGTCCTCTGTTCAGAGTAAAGCACTGATGGGTGTAGATTACTCACCAGTATTGATTTACTGTTCTAACAGAGTTTGCCTTCTCAAATCAGGATGTGAAAACAGAATACTCTTCTGATGAGGCAGCTTAGAGCCTTCAAGGCTGCACTGGCTCCTTCAAAGCACTGTAGGCTCTGGGAGCAGTCCCTCAGGCGAGAACATCTGAATAAGTAGTGAGATGGACTGCAGGAGGAAGCTGCTAGTGAGTGATGCAACTCAAAAGGATTATGGGACTATCTTCTTTAAAATAAGCAGTTTCAATTACTTGTCTCTTGGTGAAACTTAATAGGTTTTGGGGGTTTTTTTCCTTGATCTGCATTTTTCTGAATACTGGTAAGTGGTCATTTCTTCTGTGAGGTGCTGAGCACTGTGTTTTGGAGCTGGGAGCAGTAGGTGTGCTGTGAGTCCTTGCTCTACAACAGGTGTGGGAAGATATTTTGCCTTATCCTGAGAGTTTGTTCTCAGGGCAGACTTTCTGAACTCTCACAGCTGCCTTTAAGCTAAAAGGGCTGGAGCAAAATGGATATTCAGCCTACTCCTTAGAATCCCAAGGTGCTCAGTACATGGGGAATCATTGGCTTGTTGAAGTCATCCTGCTGTGCAGAGCAGAGATCTCAATTCCACTGAGCTTCTGAGGGATTCTTTTTGAGTCCAGCCTCAAACTTGTGTCTCATGTCTCAGAGAAGCACCAAATCCATTGTTTGTAAATTCAAAAGAAGCAGTGCATGGAAAACAAAATGATATGTTCTAATGTCACTTTACAGAGATGTTTCCTGAAATGCAAGTACCAGAGTCAGAATATGACTGGATCTTGCTAAATGTAAATTTAAGTGGATACTACAGAGTGAACTATGACCAATTAAACTTGAAGAGATTAGCACGGTTACTAGAAAATGACCCAAAGGTAAGATGATTTTTGTTTTCTCAAGCTTATGAGCAAACTCTTTCCATATATTTTTTCATGCAGATTTTACCTAGATTCACATTGATGAAACCTTGGAATAATGACAAACTCACCATTGCACCACTAAAGTCACTGGCTTTTTGTAGTGGATAGATGACAGGCCTAAACAGTTTCAGATAAGCATGAAAAAAAACTTTACACTGTATTTTTTTCTTCAAATTTGTGTTACTAGCTTGTGGTTCTCCTGTTGTCTTTAAATCTGGCTCAAGGAGCTTTCAGTATGAATACAGGATTTGAGCCCTAGCTGGTATAAAACAATCATAAAGAAGGAAAAATTGTGAGGAAGTTTATTTCCATGTTTTGTCAAACCACAGTGTTTCTGTCTATGGAATTAAAAAAAAAAAAAAAGAAAAAAAACCCAACTTTTTTTTGGTGGGTTTTTGGTTGGTTGGTTGTTTGGCTGATTGGTGTTTTGTGGATTTGTTTGGGGGTTTTTTTTGGTTTTGGATTTTTGTGGATAATTTTCCTAGAAGTTCCAATCAATTCTCTTTCAGTCTTCTGTAGACACTGATTTAGAATAGACTTCATCCTACCTTTGACTTGCCATAGCTGAACTGAAGGTGAAAGTGGTACAGAACAAATGTGACTCTAGATGGGGTTGCATGGTTTCAGTGTTGCCTAATCCTATAGTGAGTCAGAGGCTGCAGTAGTAGCGTCAGCTCATTGGTTTTGCTAACAAAAGTGAGAAAATGTAACCTTTTGACATAATAGTAATCAGTGCAATCTTTCTCTGGAAAGTCTGGACACAAGGCTGATCAGAGCACGTTAAACCTTCCTACAGCACAGTGGTTTCATTTCTTCTAAGCTTCTTTCTTTCAGGGCAAATCTACAAGATTCAGACTCTTCAAGATGTCTGGTGTGTGCTGATTTGGAGCCATTTTTTTGCACCATATAGAGTTGCAAAAACTTAACTCTGGGCCAGACCTCAGGTGCAGGAATAGTCTATTAACTATAGGTTTGGTCACATTCAAACAAGACAGGTTCACAAGTAGCATGGATTATTAAAGACAACAAAATAGTTATTTTGGTTTGATGGTGACAAGTGCATTAACTGCAGAACAACTATTGATAGCACTAACAATAGGACTGCAATCACAAGCCTAATTTATTGAGTGAAAACATTCAGCATGGCCAAGGATGCAGGTCTTACCATAAGGCATCCCTTCTGGGAAGGATGAGGAAGACAGACACATGCATCTGTGCCTACAATTTTGTATCAAGTTCTCACAATCCTCAGTCATGTACAAGATCAGGGTGCATTCTTTGCCTTATTAACTACAACTTTGCAAAGTGCCTTGGGTGGCACTGTGGTCAAACTGTCTGTTCTTTGTGGTAACGCTTCCTGGTGGGAAGTGTTCTTGGTAGCAGTTGTGCAAAACCATCTGTTCCTTGTGGTCATGCTGTATATAATATTTCTTGGTATCCAGAGGTGGAACAAGAACATGCAGTTTCCATCCAGCATCATGTTCCTGTCTGGTGGGTGTCAACCCAAGCCACCTGACTTCTGTCTGCTTTTGGCATTTCTGCCCTGCTTTATGCTCCAGCTGTCAGAAGGAATGTTTGCTCAAGCACTGACCAAACTGCAGGGGCATGGAACAGGGAGAAGACAGGACAGCAGTCCTGCCCCAAGAGCATGAGATACATGCATATAAGCAGAGACACACCCATGACTGTGCCTCAGTCATTTATTTCATGGTAGTGATAAACACACTGCTCAGCACCAAGTACAGATTCTGTATTTAAACCTCAAAAGGAAAAAATACACCAAAATTGTGTAACTAGAGTATTTTAAAGAAATGTGGCATTTACATGTTTTAATTTCAATTACAGCATGCAAGTAAGAGGGGTCTTTAAATTCTCTGGTTAATGTACTGTACTTACATGTTTATATACACTATAATATATAACTATATTATGTAGCTCTGTGTATAGCACATATCTCTTAAAGCACATAAAAAAATATCAGTTTAAAATTCAGGATCCATTTCTCAATGTTTTGTAAGCTGTTTTGATTTAGAAAATTTGTTAGGGATCCTTCTGAAACATCACAAAGCTTTTTGTAAATTCTTAATGACATGTTGATATCAACTAACACAACATGAATGCTTTCTGCAGGCTATTCCCGCTGTCAGCAGGTTCCAGCTGATAGATGATGTTTTTGCATTGGCAAAGTAAGTATGTTTCCAATATGTTACAGAAATTGATTAAACAATATTATTACACTCAAGATTTCCACTTCTGCTTCCTTGATTCCTACCCATGTGTGCCTCCTAAGAATAACTGCTTTGATATATTTAAGAATAACTGCTTTGAGATATTTATTCCCTTCTTTTGCCAGTGCTGAGTGAGTCAAAATTTCTTTTGTTCCAGCTCCAAGGAAATTATTTTAAATAGCGGCACTACCATGCTTTCTTTAGGAATTACCCTGTATTTAATGGAAAAAAATGAAGATTCTGTATCTTCCTTCATTTATTCTGCGTTATCTCACCTGTGCTGTACTGCATCTCTCAAAACCTCTTTAATTTCTGTTGCTGAGTCATGACTTGATTTTTCAGGCCTGTGGTACTAAAGAGGTCAGCAGAGTTGTAGGAGCTGAGAAGCATTAAGTGTGTCTGTGCCTCACATGTACCAGAGGTAATAAAAGCATCAGACACAGCATCTTCAGATGAAGATGTCCCTGCAATGAGGGACCTCAGGAATGAGGTGGCCAAAGCACACTGCCCTGCTTTAGGGCCTGTGGAAGTTAACTCTGACAGGAGGAAGTTCTGGAGTCAAGGGGCTTGAATTGGAATTTTGTTGTGAAAAAATTAATTCCATACTTATTCCACACTGAGGGACAGAAATGCCATGATGAAGTAATTAATTCTACAAATAGTGTGCATCTGAATTAAATGGTTTGACTTTTACATATTCCACAAAAGAACATGTAATGAAAATAAGTTGTTTCACAATAAAAATAAAGTTGTATTATTACTAAAACAGTACTTTTCTTCTTAGTTTTGTTACAGGGGGACAGACACATGCTATCAATGTGTTTGTACCATATCCTGCAGACCCAAGCAGATACAGAGTGCATATTGCCATGCTTACTGCCATGACTAGCCTATTGCTTTGATAGCAGCACAGTGCTCCTTAATAAATGTTTTGAGAGTTCAGCT